AAAACCAAAAAAAAAAAAAAAAAAATAAGATTTATTAATTTGTGTATTTTATGTGTCTGAGTGCTCTATTTGCATGTACACCTGCCTGCCAGAAGAGGACATCAGATCTCATTATTGATGGCTATGAGCCACCATGTGGTTGCTGGGACTTGAACTCAAGTCCTCTGGAAGAGCAGCCAGTGCTCTTAACCACTGAGCCATCTCTCAAGCCCCCTACTTTAAAATTTTTAATTATTTGTGTGTTTGTGTGCATGTGGGTATGGACATGTCACAGCATGCATGCGGATGACAAAGGACAGCTTTCAGGAGTCAGTGCTGTCCATCATGTGGTCCTGGGGAGGGGATGAGCTCAGGTTGTCAGGCTTCCTGACAGCCAGTGTCTTTACCATTGAGCCACCTTGCCATCTCTATCCATATCATACTCTTTTTGTTTGGTTTTGTGTTTGTGTTTTTTGAGACGGTATTTCTATATCATCCTGGCTGTTCTTGGAACTCATTCTGTAGCCCAGGCTGGCCTCAGACTCACAGAGTTCCTCCTGCTTCTGCCTCCCAAGTGCTAGGGTTAAAAGGGTGTGCCACCATGCCTGATTCTACCCACATTGTATTCTAAGCCCAGTTAGCAGATGTCCATCCATCATGTTGGATAGCACCTGACTACCACTAGGGTTTTCTTTAAGTTTGGTAAGTTAGAGGGACATTTGTTGACTGTTTTGCACATGGGCTGAACAGTTCACCATTTATTGTCTTGGACAGGAGTGTGAAACCAAGATCGCACAGGAGATAGCCAGTCTTTCGAAGGAGGATGTTTCCAAGGAGGAAATGAATGAAAATGAGGAAGTTATAAACATCCTCCTTGCCCAGGTAAGCGAAACTCTTAGTTTCCGAGGTCATCTATTGGTCCTTTTTCCAATGGGAGCCGAACTATAGACTTTTTAAACCAGATATGTCAGTTGACTCCTATGGCCCTACCCTGGGCTGTGTTTGCTGAAACATTGTGTGGACGAGACGCTACCTTCCGTCTAGTGTCTTAGTCTACACCTAAGTTTATGTTGTAGGTATTTTCCTTGATTCACACCTTCATGTCAATGACAGCAGGAGAACATAAGTTACAGATTATTTTCTCCAAGGTTTCTTGGAATATTAACCACATCTGTAGGTACCCTGAGGCGAGGGAAAAATGTCTGTGTGTTTAAACACGGAGGAGAAGTGTCTGTCTTGATAGCTTTTCAGTGCTTACTAGAGCGTGACCTGGTGGCCTCCCCCTTCTCTGGAAGGATGCTGAAGCTTTTGCCTCCAGCTCCTCATTCCCCATGACGGCTTTCTTCAGGCTGGAGGACCGTGGATGCGCTCAGATAGCGGTTCTCTCCGTGTGATTCTCTGCCAGGCAGTTTAGGAATGGTTAGCCAGTCAAGTGGAGTTTTTCTTCTGTCTGGAGGGCATGGTGGAGTGCAGTGAGGAAGTGATCTGTAACCTCCCTCTCCTGCTCTGCCTTACACTTAACACTGGTACCAGCCACAGCTGCTGAGGCCCAGTGAAGGTGTTGGGTCCCCTGAGGCTGGGGTTATATATATGGTTGTGGGTACCCCAGTGTGAGTGCTGGGAGCTGAGCTGCGCTCTCTGGAGGAAGAGCAAGTCCTCCTAACTGCTGAAGCAGAGTTGACATTGGATCCTTGGTCTTGGGTGGGAGGTTCACAGGGAGCCTTGCAAAGGGCCCACAGCAGGTTCTTGCATACATTCTGTTGTTGAGAAGAGTCCAGGCACTCTCAAAATAACTGTGTAACTTTTCTTGATTCTGAGGAAATAGTGTAGTTTTGGTTGTAGTAACTTGTGTTCAGCACTGAGCAGAGTGGGCGACCCTGGAAAGGTGACATTTCCTCTACCAGAGCTTGGAAAGATGTTCTCCAATCGTTTCAGGAGAATGAGATCCTGACTGAGCAGGAAGAGCTCCTGGCCATGGAGCAGTTTCTGCGGCGTCAGATCGCCTCGGAGAAGGAAGAGATTGAGCGCCTCCGTGCTGAGATTGCGGAGATCCAGAGGTAAAGGAGAGCCGGAGGGTTGGAAGTCCCCAGCTATGCTGTGTTTAAATCTGAACAGAACTGTTTACACTCCTGTAAAGGAGCTGGGCGTCTGAAGTCAGTCCCTCCAAGCTTCTTAGCAGGTTTTAAAAGAGCATTGGATCAGGTTGATTCCTGAGCATGGGTGGACCTCAGTGAACTGGCCAGCAAGCCACAGTGGGATTCCCGTTATCTCCCCTCACAGTCGCCAGCAGCACGGGCGGAGTGAGACTGAGGAGTACTCCTCCGAGAGCGAGAGCGAGAGCGAGGACGAGGAGGAGCTGCAGATCATTCTGGAAGACTTGCAGAGACAGAATGAAGAGCTGGAGGTGAGTTTGGGAGCGCGAGAGCCAGACATCAGAGACTTCCAAAATGTGCTCTAGACTACCTGTTCCCTGCTGCAGACTTGGAGAGAGGAGTCCAAGGGCCTTCTTACCCAGCGTGAAGTGTGTGTGCTTGGCTGCTTGAGTTGTGCTAGCTGTGACCTTAGTGTCCAAATGGACCTTCCTCTTTTGAGTCTTTAGAAGGTGAGTGTGCTTGTCCATGATCCCCAGCAGCCTGGCATGGTGAGAGCCAGTGGTGAAGTGAGGGACAGTTGTCTTCTAGTCCTTGAGCCAGAGTAGAAGGTGTGACAGAAAGCGCTGGGCGGCTGGGCAGCTGCTGTGATGCGGAGGGACAGGCTGATCTACGTGGCCTCCCTTCTCATCCCAGATAAAACGCTGTCTTGTGTAGGACTTAGTGAACAGAGGGACAGCTTCTTCATTCACGGGCATCGAGCTGCCAAGAGAGGGAAGCCATGCCCACGTGGAAGTCAAGAGTGGCACAGACGCTGGGCCCAGTGGCTCCAGCCTATAATCCCAGCACTAAGGAGGAAGAGGCAGGTGGATTTCTGAGTTGGAGGCCAACTTGGTCTACAGAGTGAATTAACAACAAGAGATATGAAAACTATCATTTCAGGGGCTGGAGAGATGGCTCAGTGGTTAAGAGCACTGACTGTTCTTCCAGAGGACCTGGGTTCAATTCCCAACACCCACATGGCAGCTCATAACTATCTGTAACTCCAGTCCTGGGATCTGACACTCACATATACATCCATGCAGGCAAAACATCAATGCACAAAAAATAAAAGTAAATAAAATTTAAAAAATAATATTAAGAATTGCCCAGGACCTCTGCCCATCCATTGCCTGTGTGGAGGGTGGGCAGTGTGAGGGGAGGCTGCTGATGTTGGTAACACCTGTCGCTGCGGGAGTCCATCCTGGGGAGAGAGGTACAGGGAACCAGGGAGATGGCCCAGCAGCTGAGCGTGCTGCTCTGTAGCCTGAGGACCTGGGTCAGAAGAAGACAAGTTGTCCTCTGATCTCCATATGCATGTACCCGTGTATACATACCTGGACCCGCTAGTGGTCTCAGCACTCAGGAAGGCAGAGGCAGATGGGTCTCTGAGTCTGAGGCCAGCCTAGTCTATAGAGTGAGACCTTGTTTAAAAACAAAAACAGAAAAGGAAGTAGGCAGGAGTGAGATGTGGGTCGCTGGGGATTCTGTTGTTTAGAAGACCACATTGGCACCTAGTTTGATCTCTTCATTTTACTCAGCAGGAGGACAAATGGCAGAATTAGTGTGGTGTTTTATTGTGGATTGTGTAGGCCCATTATTCACACAGTTTTCCCACTTGGGGCCAAAGTGGCTGCCCTGAGTCTTGCCACGTTCTTAGTAGAGGAAGAAGGGTCCAGGCACACCCAGTGTCATGACAAGGTGTGCAGGTGGGGCTTATCCTCATGTTCACCCCATTTGAACAAAGGCCTAGTCACCTGGCATACCCAGCAGCTCAGCATGCTGGGAAATGCTAAGGCAGAGAGAGGGCTCTGATGGATGGGGGCAGTTGCTGCCAGAAACAAAGGCTGCCAAGAGCCTGGGATTCTCGACTCTCGAATTACAAAATGCTGCTGAATGAGTGTACATCCTTTAGAAGTGATGGTGGTTTCCCACGGATTTAAGTAGCGCATTTCAGATGTAGTCATAAAGACAGACTTGGACATGGAAAGCAATCTCAGCGTTTATCCCAGTTCCCTCTCCTAATTGCTGCTAAAATTACCTTTGTACTCTCCTTGCAGCCTGTTCAGAAACCAGTGTAAGGAAAAAAAGCCCATTTAAACACTAAAATACTTCCTAAAACAACTGCTTCTGCGTCCAGGCAGAGTTTACATTCTCACCCATTCAGAGCTGTATTTATATGGTCATTTGCATGTTCGTGTGCATGTCTTCTGTTGCACCAGCCAGGCCGGCTAAAATAGAACTAGATCCTTCTGTGGGATGGCTTGCAGCCTGTGCTCTGCCCTGATTCCTTGTCCTTCTGACCTTACTTGAGAGGTAACCGTCCCCCCTTTTGTCATTCTCTAAGATAAAGAACAACCACCTGAACCAGGCAGTCCACGAGGAGCGGGAGGCCATCATCGAGCTGCGTGTACAGCTCCGACTGCTCCAGATGCAGCGAGCCAAGTCTGAGCAGCAGCTACAGGAGGATGAGGAGCCTGAGAGGCGAGGGGGCGTAGGCCCCCCGCCCTGTGACGGTGTCCTCGAGGTCAAAGCAGCTAAGGAGCAGGTGAAGCCCTCCCCCAGCAAAGACCGGAAGGAGACGCCCATCTGAACTGCCTCGGGCCCTGGGCGTCTTACTGTAAGCGAGAGCCAGCTGACTTGGCTGCCGTACCTGCTGCAGAGGTTCTCAGAGATGCTTCCTCTTGCACACGCCTGGCTCCTTGTCAGGCTCAGGCCCTGGGAGGGTGAAGCAGTGGACAGCCGGGGCTTACAGGGAACACATGAGTTTCCAGATAGTGTCAGCTTATTCGAAAATTAATTTTCTCTGTTCAAAATAACTATTTTAACCCTTGAGTGGCTTCTTTTTAAACCAAAAATTGTCTTTCTTTGCTTTTTTTTTTTTTTTTTAAATCACAGCAGAATCAGGATCTCTTATCAAAGGGTGGGAACCAAACCAGGTCACTTCTGCACCTGCCTTGTGGACGCTCGTGGTCTCGCCAGCCCCACAGGGTCTCTGGCCACTCTTGATTGTGCCTTCCACACCTTCTGGTGCAGATTGTTCAGTGGGGAGCTGCCTCCTATTTTCTGACTGGCCAAAAACGGCTCTCGCTGGGTGTTCCTTTACCCGACTGTACTGCTTTGCTTTTACAGTTCCGAATCAGGTCTGTCAGTGAGTCATCACCATGGCCTAGTGTGGTTGCAGGTAGAGGTTACGGTGGAGCCTGCCACCACCGTACAGGCGCAGTCACTCACTGCCAGGGATCAGCAAAGGCCTTTCCACCGAGGTGGTCAGAGGTGACCACCTTGACCCTGAGGCATTAACACAAAGGATGCTTCTCAAACCAGAAACCTTTACTCAACAGACCTCCCAGGAAAACAAGAATGATTGAGTTGCTTGCTTGGGCTGGGGTGTGCACACCTGCCAGGATAAGCCATGTAGACGTTCTCACACAGAAGTTTTTACTCATTCACATCATCTCAAGGGAGTGCTTACGGATCCCTCTGACCATCGAGCAGCGGCAAAGTGACAGCTGCAGCTGACCCCTCTTGATTGTGCTAGCTCGGGCGGCTCCAAGGTGTCTGGGAGGCCTGACTCTTAGGCAGCTGGCCAGGCTGGGTTGGACTGCCAGATGAGTGGTCCCCGTGGGAGCTTCCCTGTGGCTCTGAAGACCAACTCCACACAGTACAGTGAGAAACACACCCACACGAGGGCTCTAGTCCCCCCGGTTAGTATTTATTTCAGCACCTGTTTGATGCAGTTTTTTGTTTTTTTTTTTAACCCTCTACCTATTGCACTGTTGTGACTTGTTGGCCATTATTTGATTTTTGTACGGAAAAAAAGCTTTGTTATAGAAATCAGCATACTATTTTTTTAAATCTGGAGAGAAGATATTATGGTGACTGGAAATATGATCAGGTGTCAAATATAAATGTATAAACGCCTTGCTGCGTCCTGTCAGACATACTACATTCATTTTATATTTGCTGGCAATATTGAAGACTTCTTTTTTGTTTGTGTAAACTCTAATTTCTATCAAGGTATCATGGGTTTTTAAAATTAGTATTTCATTACAAATGTCTCAATGTTGGGTAACTAACTTTTGCCAGGGTCATTATTGATCAAGGAAATAAATTCAACAGCCATTTGAGAAAAAAAAAAAAAAAAGCTTTTTCTTGTGCACCGTTTCTTTGAAATAGTTGCATGCCCAGCAGCTGGCACAGAGTTGGTGTGGGTACTTGAGGTGGAGAGTGGATAAGACGTTAGTTCACCTTGTGCTCCTCCCTAGTACACATCCAGACTGTGTGGTCCTGCTATGGGCTCCTGACTGAAACTGTTTACCCACAGGCTCGGCCTGCAATTCCTGAACTCTGACAGTTTCCTGGTGCTGTTGGGAAAGTAAGCATCATCTTCCAGGGCAAGTCCAGGCCCATTTTGGCCTGGTTGCTGGCCTTTACAGTGGTTTGCATTTTAAATGTGAAATGAGGACTTAGAACATTTAGCATGCTAGGGATGCACTGGTCTAGAATAAAAGAGCTTTCTCATTTCGGTTTTGGGGGTATTTAATCTCACAATTAAAATATCTAATATTTAAAGCACGACAAATACTGGATTCTCTATTTTGTATAGTTAAACTTGGTTTATAGAAGGTCCCAGACATCCTGATGTGACAGCTAACTTCAGGGATCTGGAGAGAGCGGTGAGGATGTGGATTAACCCCACCAGGGCCCATGCACGCATGAAGTCCTGAATATAGACCCCCTAGTATCCACATCAGAAGCCAGGAGTGGTGGGGAGCACCTGTAATTCTGCCTCTGCAGCGTGCAAATAGGAGGACCCCTCAAGTTTGCTAGCTAGCTAGTCTAGGCAGTGAGCTTTGGGTTCAGTGAGAGACCCTGTCTCAAAAAATGAATCGGAGAGTGATTAAGTAAGATACCCAATGCTGACTAGCCTCCACTCACAAATACACACTCACGCACACCCCTCAAAACAAACATGCCCTGGCCGGTGGGGCCAGCTGCAGCCTGGGCTTTCTCGAGCTTTCTCCAGGGCATTTTGCTGATGTTTCTGTAGTATCACCCCGGGGTGTGATGCAGGCTTAGTCAATACTCCTCAGTGGAGGTACAAATCAAAGACCCGCATCAGCTAGGTGAAGAGTTCCTAATAAGGTTACGTGCTTGTAAGGTGAGCATTGTCTCTGGGATGCAGAATTAGTGAATGGTTCTAGACTAGCGTTAGGAGACTCGGGTAGGAGGACCAAGTGCAGGGTCTTTACATCCCATGTGCGGGCTCCCTTTGCAGAGCGGGAAGAGGATGCTGCTGTATTCATGCCCCCCACTCTCCAGCGCCAGCCTGCAGTTAGATTCTTGTTCCTGTAGTCTGGGGGCGCCTGGCCACCACTGGACTAGGATGACTCAGGAGGAGGTCTTCTCAGGATCACGTCCTCTGGTGATGGCTTCAGCAAGACAGCATTGCCTTTTCTCTGCTCCCAGTATGTAGTTCAGGCCAAGACCAGCTTGGTATCTTTGGTAGTGCCAGTCTCCTGTTAACACTGGCTTTCAGGGAGGCGCAGGAAATACGTAGCTTGCATGCCTTTCCTTGCCTCTAGTAATCAATTTTGTTCTGTTTATTTCTCACTGACAAAACAAAGCCCTAATTTCAAAAAGATTTATTATATTAAGTCCCAAGTGTAGGGCTTTAAGCCTTAGACTCATTTCTCCACTCAGGACACGATCTGCAAATTGTCATTTTATTAAATTTCCTGGTGAGGTGCCAGGTGACAGTCAGTACAGCTCCGGCATTCTGTGTGTGTGTCATCTTTTGTGTGGATGGTGTGTGGAGACCAGAGGTTGACATGAGATGTCTTTTCTCAGTTGTTTGCCCCATTTATTATTATTAAATAGCCTTTGACATAGCAAGTAGATTGTATATTTATTTAATGAATAGGGTTCCTTTGAGGATTAGATTATATATACAATTTTCAAAAATAATATTTTATTATTAGGGGATTTCATATATATATCTTGATCATATTCACCCCTTCTCTCTGTGTCCTTTTTTGTTTCAGAAGACACTATCTTATAGCAGGTGTCCTGGTCCTCTGGCTCTTAGAATCTTCCTGCACTCTCCTTCATGATGTTCCCTGAGCCTTAAGTATGAAGGACTTGCTGTGTTGTGTTGTATTGATTGGAACAAACACAGTCAGTTGTCTCTGCATTCTGACCAGTTGTGGCTTTCTGTAGTCTCCACGTGCTGCAAAAAGAAGCTTCTTTGATGATCTGTGGGCAGAGGACAATACGTAGAATGGCCCTGGTTAGGAAATGGTCGTAGGAGGTTCCTCTAGGTGCCATGTTCTCATCAGGCATAGTTGGCTAAGTTTCTACTGCTAGGCTGGGTGACCACTGGTGACCCCAGGAAGCACACGCCACTGTTGCACCTTTCGGAGTACTTGCCCTGTTGGTCACTGTTGGGCTTCACTGGTGTATTAGCTAGATGGGACTGTTGATAGCTTTACTCTGTTGGCGGCTGATGATGCTGACTCCATCCCAGACGATTGCGAGCCAGGCCTGTGAGGCGGCTTCCAGGTCAAATCGGGTGAGTTCCTGCAGATAGATCCTGGGTTGGAAGTGTGTGATGCCTTCAGCAATAGGCTCTATTGGTGAAATTATTAAGGCCACTCCACATAGTTAAAAGGGAGGTTTATTTTGTGAAGTAACTTACAAGTGAAGGGATAGTTTACAGGGTCTGGGAAAGGCGTGGCGCAGTCCGGTGGTGGTCTCTGGAGAACTCTGCTCTGTCTACCTCCAGTGTCCAGGGTCCAGGAACCAAGAGAGCGTGCTTGCCCATCCAGGTCTCGGGTCTCCAGGCGCCTCCCCTGGCCCCGCCTCATAGGCGTGACAGTTGCCAGAGTCTCAATGGGGGTTGGAACTTCCAGATCCAAGCTGGAATGGCTACCTACTACAAGGCTCTTAACTCCTTTCTAGGAGAGGTCAAGGGTGACAGCAAGGCCTGTATTGTTTGGGGACCTCTTGGACTCCTTGACCGCCAACTCGAGGAGGTTCCCCGTGCCTGCACTGGGGCTTTTGTTAGTTATTCTGTGGTTTGGGGATGTGTTGTCACTCTAAGTGACAAAACTTCCTTTATACTATAAAATGTTCATGAACTTACATGCATGGAAACATACAGACATACATGTGTGTTTCTGACAGTCTGTAGCCTTGGCTGTCCTAGACTCAGTATGTAGACCAGGTTGGCCTCGAACTCACAGAGATCTGCCTCTGCTTCCCGAGTGCTGGGATATAAAGGTGTGTGTCACCGTGCCTGACTCTGTATGTAATTTTGAGTAGTCTAAAATAATATTCCCTATGGCTTTTCCAACATCCTCAGTGTTGTTATCCCTCCCAGTCCCAGGCAGGTCTCTAGCCGTTCTCCTTCTCGTAGCGACTGTTTTACTGTCCCTCAGGTGCTCCCCAAAAAACATGGTCTCATTTTCCTGATGTCTGAACACTCCAGGTATATTTACATCTAGTGATTCAGAGCTAGTATCCATAAGAGGAAAACATGATGTTTGCTTTTCCGGGCCTGGGCTACCTCACTTGGGATAATATTTTCTAGTTCCACCCCTTGCCTGCAGACTTAATGATTTCATTCTTTACAGTGAATAGTATTCCGCTGTATATATGGACTGTATTATTTCTTGAGATGAAATCTCATGACTCTTACTGATTCATGTGGACTGGCTGGCCAGTGAGCTTCTGGGGGTCTCCTTGTTTGCTTCCCACAGGGCTCAGCACTGGGATTATAGTAAACTTAAGTCCTTATGCTGTGTGGCAGGCATGCCACTAACCACAAGGCTAACCTGATACCTGTCCACCCTTTTCCAAATGGCGGCATCTATGGTCAGTATAGCTTGAGATAAGAAACCAGTGTGTTTTCCACTCACCTTGGGCCCAGGGGTACCATCAGGGTCAGAACAGGTGTCTATGGAGGGAACAGAGTGATTCTTCCCTGCGCTGAATGCTCGGACTTCTGGCTGCTGTCTGGGGCTGTAGCCTGTAGATTCCAGGCAAGGTAGTGCTGAACATCCTAGCTCTACATAGAGAAAGCAAGAATCCCTTCTGCGGGAGGTATCTTTAGCTGCACAATCCACTGGATGCCTTGAATTTCTCACATAGAGATTTTAAAATTTGCGTCACTGCCCTTTGCTGTCAGACTGAGCATGGAAAGGCAGTTTATAGAAGGAATGGTCATAACGTCTGTGCAGGATGGGGCCCTCCATGACCCCTCTGCCTGGCTGTCACCCGGACGTCTCCCTAGGAGGAGGGGTACCCTGGAGTGTGCTGTGTGGCGTCCCTGGCCTTCATTCTGTTCTCGCAGGTTTACCCTGCTGCAGGGTTGCCTGGTAAAACAGCGCCTCCTTAGGTTTGAATGTTTTCAAGGGGTGCCCATAGGACTCCAGGGACATATCCTGTATTTTGATTTGCTGCATCTGGCCACCCTGCTGCAGTGTCTCCACTCCAGAGGTTCCTGGGCCTGAGCACCGCTTAACAGTGGGCTAAGTGGAGCGAGTGGTCTGGGCAGTCAGTGGTGTCCCTGGAACCTGAATAGCTCGCTCTCTTGCTGTTCCCAAGGTGCCTTCAGGCCTGTCTCCAGCTGGCCATGCCAGCCTGATGACTGCCAAGTGAGCTGTGGACCTGGGCACAGTGCCTTTGAAAACACTATTTGGGGGGCTAGAGATAGGACTCAGGGGTCACACTAGCTGTTCTTCCAGAGGACCCGGGTTCAGTGCCCAGCACCCACAGGCAGCTGCCTACTATCTGTAAGTAATTCCAAGGGATCCAGCACCCTCTTGTGGCCTCTGCCGGCTCTGACACAGTGGGTCACATGCATGCCGTCCGAACATGTACAGGAAGAGAAAATGAAAACACTGATTTACTTTGAGAA